CTAGAACAGGGGTGGGCAAAATACAGCCTGCGGAAGGGTTTTGTCTGGCTCGTGGGAGGTCCCTTCATCCCACCTGGCCCAGACATTGTCCCCCCACTCAGCAGCACCCCTCCCCATACACCCCCCTCACACCTGCAGCTACCCTCCTCCTCTACACAACCCCACAATGCCCCCCCACACTCACCCACATCCACACATCCCCACATACTCCATACCCACCCACACCCCCAGACCTCCTGAAATATGCAAGAGTAAGACTTCAATTTAAACTATTATGCAATCACCTCTATATACATGACACAAACATACAAATCAGTACAAAAATATCTTTTAAAAATAAAATTAACATATGTTATTGTGGATGTTAGATTTTTAATATATAATTTTGGGAGGTTTTCTGGTTCCAAGATGGCAAACCCCTTTCCCAAAGGGGAGTACTTCTGGGGCAAGGGCAGGAACTATTGGTGACAAAGGTCAGAGGTTAGGAGGAGGGACTTCTGGTACTAAAATGGTGACCAGGGGGCAGGGCTACCCTTGCAGCCCTCAACAGCTCACCAATGCTCATGAACCGGCACTCCAGAAGAAATAATTGCCCACCCCTGCTCTAGAAACACAAATTATTGACCAGGACCCTATGGATAAGGCACAAGTATTGCTACACAAGTCTAACATAGAAACAAGTCTTCTTTCACCTCTTTCTTCAGGCTTTCATGGCATAGGCTGCATCTTAAAGAGACGCATTATGGACACTCCCATCCTGTTCATAATCACATGGACCACCTCCACTACCATGAACAATTACATACCTTTCTGACAACTACAGTAATTACAAACAGACAGCTAAATATTCCTGTGGGCAGTTAACACATTGTATATGCACTGCCAGGATTTTCTTTTAACTTGTATTCAAGAGACCAATATTTGCAAACTTTTGACCTAGAGTTCTTGGTTGTTCTAGTGAAACGTAACTTCTAGCCAGTTGAGGAATTGTAAAATCCACAAGCCACACACTTACACACCTTGGATATTAAATAGGAAGGTAGTCCCACTGTTCTCCATCACTGTTCTCAAATCAGGTCTTCTCTAGAACTACACTGTGCTTAGAATCCAATTTGGCAAGATTCATTTATCACAGTTTCTATACTCAAAGTTTTTTCCCCCCTTCTTCCTCAGTATCGTGCTCCTTGCCATTGTTTCAAAAGGCATCAGTACTAGCCATTAAACTGCTCACTTCAACACCTTACATATGCTCTGAAACCAACACCTGTGGACATATTAGACAGGGAACTTTCATAGATTCATAGACTGTAAGGGATCTTGGAAAATCATTAAGTCCAGCCTCCTGCACCAAGCAGGAAAGACAACTGGAGTCACGTGACCCCAGCAAGGTGACCATCTAGTCTCCTCTTGAAGATTTCCAGGGTAGGCGATTGCACAACCCCTGGAGGGAGCTTATTCCACAGTCTGAACACCCTAGTTGTGAAGTATTTTTTCCTCATGTTGAGCCTGAAATGGTCTTCCAGGAGTTTGTGACCATTACTCCTAGTTTTCCAAGTGCCCTGGTGAACAGATGCTCACTGAGCCCTTGATGTACGCCTCCAATGTAGTGGTAAGCTGCTACCAAAGTCCCCTCTCAGTCTTCTCTTTTTCTGGCTGAAGAGTCCCAGATCCCTCAGCCTTTCCTTGTATGGCTTGCTGCACAAGTCTCTGATCCTACAGGTGACTTCTCTGGACTCTCTCAAGCTTTACCACATCCTTGTTAAAGTGCAGCACCCAGAACTTCACATAAGTTATGGGTCTCTGAAAAATTAGGATTCCCTCCCCCACTGCTTTTACTTTAAAACAGCTCCCTTGCAGCCTGGCTACATCTGTCAGCAAATAACTGTTTTACAGGTGCGACAGCTTCAAATTTGAAGTTTCCACAGGAATAGGATTCAGCTGACAAGCAGCCACTACCTTTATTCAGCAGTTTAAACCCCTTACAAAGCATGCTTAAAAAAGACTATTTAATCTGTGCTAGTGTTCGAGAACCTGAAAATGGATACTTAGGGCTAGAAGTGCTTTTCAAATAGCTTAGAACCTGTTTGGCTTGAAATAGGGTGGGTAAACTTTCATTGAACTACTTCACAAAAGATGGCTTTTCACCCAAATATGAAAGTCGGAGAAGTCCATTACAGGAGGGTTTTGGCTTTTTTTCTTTAAACTAGAACTAAGCAACTCTTTAGACTTTGCATAGCTAAATCCTATTTTGTCCTGCTTCCTTAAATTCAGTTAATTTAAAAATTTGCAA